AGGCCTGCAGGAAAGAGAAACCCAAGAGGTCTCCAGGGTGAGCAGCCAAGGTTTCCAGATGGTTAGGAACAGAGAAGGGGCACCTGGCAGAAGATCCAGGAGAGAGAAGATGGGCAGGGGGCAAGAAGGAGTGGGAGGTGGGAGAGATAGCAGGGCAGGGTAAATGAAGGAAATGTGGGGGAGGAATTGGGTATGGAGAGGGGAGATTCTATCCTGAGGCCAAGATGCTGTCAGGCACTTGGAGGAGGGGCACACCTCCACTGGCTCCAGCCCCAGGACCAGCCAAGTGCCAAGGAGAACTCTGCCTACCTCCTGGGGAAGAGGGCTTCAGTTCCAGTTTCTCTGGGACTCTACTCTGGGAAAGTGATCAGTGTCACCCACATGCCCCCAGCTCCATGAAGGCCTTTTGTAAGAAAAGGGTACAGAAACTGCACTGAAACCCCCTTTAAAAGTCCCTTGGGAAGCCTGGCCCATCACCAGGGGAACGGGCCTGTGCTGCAGAGAGGAGGATGGAGTCAGACCCCTGACACCATTAAGGAAAGGACAAAGGACATAAGCAGTGTGGGTCACTGACGCTCATGGTCCCCTTGACCCAGCTCCTGCAGGGAAAGGCTGCCCCACAGAGGCAGGGAATGCTCCAGATGACTTCTTCAAAGCCCAGACCTAATCCTCAGGGAGTCCTTTTGTGCCAAACCACATTTTCAGGGACCTCGCAGGAGGACCCTGCTTTCCAGAGGCTGGGGATGGGGGATGGGTCCTATTATATTCTGTTCAAGCTCATTTGATACCTGGTGATGTGTAAGGGAAAAGAGGAAAAACTGGGAAACGTTACTCCAAACCCTCATATATAAATGAGGATGATGGTCCCTGCCAGCTTATCATGACAGCTAAGTGAAGTAGCCAGAGCATTTAGCGCAGCACTGGCACGGTTACTTGGAGGGAAGGAGTAAGGATAGGATCCTAACGCTCATAGACTGGAAGTAAACTGGAGACAAGGTCTCGCCCCTGCCCAGTCAAAATATGCCGGGCTCTGGCCAGGGCGGATTAGCTGGGCTCGTTTGCATCTCATTTGCATGAGCCCTGTCGGGCCAACGACACTTGTCACTCCTGTCGCTTCAGAGCCATTGGGCCCCACGTTGTCTCTGTCCCTCCCTCGTGGCCTTTCCCAGACTCCCGAGGGCTGCAGGACCCCGAAGGGAGAAGAGAGCCCGAGTCTGGGACCTAGGGTCTGACCTGGGACCCGGCTTCGGGAGAGGGCCCGCACCGCCGCCGGTGCCCAGGAGCCTGGCTTAGGGCGACCCCTGCAGGACATTCCCAGAACAGAGGAGAGGGAACGGGCCGGCGCCGGCTCCGCCCAGCTCCACGCGGGGAGCGGCCGCCCAGCCCCTTGGCCTCCCACGTGCAGCGCCGATCCCCGGCACCTGCAGTCCGGGGGCAGACCCCCGCACCATGCCCGGATCCTGACAGAATCCAGAAACTCGCATGCCTCCACCAGACTAGCCGAGACCAAGGGGTCCATGGGGGTTGTAGCAAGCACCAACACAGGAACCTTTGGGAGTTCTGGGCAACACTCCAGCACCTCTCCTAAGATACCGCTGTTTCTGCGCCAGTGCCCACCTCGGGCATCACGCTCCCATCCTACAGCCCAGAAAGGAAAGGATCGTGGTTTTATCTTTGGAAGAATTTAGAGAGCAGAGAGGACTGTGACGTGGGGAGAAGCCCTCACTGCCTTTACTGAAGGTGAACCCACCAAGACCCCCCTTGCTCTCCACCCACCAGGGCTGCAGCTAGCTGGACTGTGACCAGGCCTCAGTCTGTTTCCCCACGGTGGGACTCCTCGCGGGCCCCTCCCCATCCAGTTCATCTGGGAAGGGAACAGGGGAAATGCTGAGACTGCAACATTTGACTAAGAGGAAAAAATGTCAAAAATGCTCTGAGCCTGCAGTTTGCTTGTTGACAGCCACACAGGCTCACAATCCTGCTTTCCCTGTGGGGCTCCTTTGCCGGCCGCCCTGGCCTTGGCTGGGCGTGTGAATGGGGGCAGAAGAAAGGGCAGGGCGCAGGGTGTGTGTGTGAACAAGTGAAGTCATTCTCTCTGGGTGGCTCCTTTTAATTAGCACCTGAAAAACTCCCAGCCAGCAAAATTGGATCTTGGCAACTGGGATCCCCACCCTTCTGGCTCATCCCGGCCCTGGAGGGCAAAAGGGGGGCAGGAAATCTGAAAGCAGGAAAGAAAAGGGTCTGTTGCAGGCCAGGGCATTTGAGAAGTCTTCCCAGTCCTCTAGGCACCCATTGGCAGGACATGGCCACACTCGAGGGCCAGCTGATCTCTAGGAAGCTTGGGCTGGGTTGTGGGCAAGTGGAGGTTGGCAAGACGTTGTTGAAATCATCCCCTTCCCCCCAACAGTCCCCAAGGGAGACCAGTCTCTGAAGGTGACCAGTGTCCCCCCCCCCCCACCCCGGAGGCTACATTACAGGTCATTACAACCACATCCGGTCCTTGCAAGACTTTCTGGCCTCCCTTTGGTCATTTGCAACATTAAAGCAGAGTCACCTGGTATCTCATGGCAACCCCCACAATCCAGTCCCCACAGTGGGAAGCAGAGGTTTACTCCATGCAAGGGACAGAGCAAGCCTTGTCCAGCCTCCCTCAAACCCCCACTCCCACGGTCCAGAGGCCATCCCCGCTGGACCTGCCCATGTTCCTCTTCTCCCTCAAAACCCTCCTCCAGGCAACTGCCTGATAACCTCCCCAAATCTGTGAGACCTTCTGGACTGGTGTGCTCACGTCCCATGTATAGCATGAGCCTATCTGTTCCCTGGATCTGACACCCTCCTCCCCATCAGGCTGGAGTCCCTGAGGACACAGCCTGAGTCCCCTTCCCAGCTCCTGGGATCAGATGGCATACAGGAGGGGCACAGCCCCATGAAAATGGACAAGGGGGACTGGGGAGGAGGGGTACTGCCAGCATTGAGACTCGGGCCTTTCTGCAAGAGGAGACAGGAGCCCTGGGTCAGTCCCACTGCTGCGTCTGTCTACACACTCACAGTGGGACCTCAGACCCGGGGCCCGCTGTCTTGGGTCTTGTGTCAGTAACCTTGGGATGCCCTTTCAGCTCTGACAGCCTATGCTACCAGGAGTATCCGGCATCCTTGTTTGTTAGTGGAGGGAGGGGACTGGAGGGCAATGAGAACTTGCTTAAGGTAGAAGACCAGTTTGCTGTGGCCAGGGTTTCTCAGAAAAGAGCTGGAGGCAGCATTCCCTCTAGCTTTCCCTGAGACCTGAAGAACCACTCAGAAATGTCCCCAGCTCTGGGGACAGCTGAGGGTCCAACAAGAGCTGGGGGTGCAGAGCACAAGACGAAGCAGAAGGTGGTCCAATTTCTAGATAAGTAAGTTCTAGATGCTTCAACATGGAGCCTGTAGCCATACTATGCTGTATAGAGAAAATGTAAGAGGGTAGATCTCATGTTAAGCATTCTTATCACAACAAAAATAAAATAAATAGTAGAGAGAAGCTTTCTGAGAGCTGTCCAGAGTCCAGGGGAATCTAAGCCTAGAGGGGTATTCCCAGCTCCAGATGATCCCTTTCTGGCTGCTTCCAGGACCCAGCAGTCAAATGCTCACAACCACGACCCTCCAGGATCCACCAGCCCAAAGAAGTGATGGGGACAGGGCCACCCTGCCGGCCCTCAACCCCTCCCCAGAGAGCCAGGCCACCACACCCCTCCCCCCACCAACCCCACGGACCACAAATCCTTGGGATCCCCCACGCTGGGGCTCAGAGTGTTGCCAGAAGGTGGAGCCTGATTTCAGGTGACAGTGGAGAGAGGATGGGGTGACTGTTCTCAGGACACAGAGGGGCGTGTCGGAAGAATGAAAGCGTCCTCTCCCTGGGGCTGAGTGGGAACCTGAGCAGGGCGGGCACCGCCCGACGCTGAGGCCTCCGCCTCCCGCCCAGCTGGGCTGGCTGTTCCCATCACACCCTGGGCAGTAAAACTTGCTTTTATGGTTGTTGTGGAGGTTGCTGTTTTTCTGGGGGCAGCAGTGTGGGCGAGGGGGTGGCTGTTTGTGTTTCTATGTGCAAACACACCTGGTGCTTGCATATGTATTGATGACTGAAGTTTGGTGTGTGTGTGTGTATACTGATGTGGGTCTATGAGTGTGTTTGTGTGGATATATTCTTGTGGGTCTGGGAGATCATTATAGCTACCTTTTATTGAGTTATTACAATGTATCAGGCACTCTCTAAGTGGTTTATTTTTTTTTTTCCCTTGAATCTCCCTGTGAGGAAGGGATTCTAGCTATCCCCATTTTACAGATAAACAGTTGGAGAAATCTGATGACAGACTCAAAGTCAGGAAAGTAGTAAGGAACAGAGTTGTGATGCTTGCCTATTGTGCTGAAAATGTCTCTGTGTTACATGTTTGTGAGGATCTGGACAGGTCTGTCTGTGTGTCCACATAACCTCTAGCTGTGAGGGAAGTCTGTGCATACCTACCTGTGTATCTGGATCGAGCCTGGGCCCTGGCCAGGCTGGGCTCAGTAGCTGGGATCACCAGAGTCTTAGGAAGGACAACCTAAGAATAGTGACTGTTGTGTCTGAAGCAGAAAACAGAGCTTGTGATGTGGCTGACTCTGGCCAGGGAACTTTTGCCATCAAGACTGTGCCAGTGTGGGCCAGCACAGTCCCAGACCCTAAACATAAAGCCAATCTAGTCCCTTCGAGGAGGGGACAGTCTGGGGAGAGCTCACAGGGCAGCCAGAAGGAGGCCATTTGGCCACCCCATCCCCACCCCATGGGGTCTCAAAAAGAACACGACTGAGCGACTGAAAAACAACTCCCGCCCCATCACTGTCACTGCCAGGGTCACTCCTGCCCCTAACCAGCAGGTGGAAATGGCAAAGCGGGGGACCCCAGGGGAGGAACTGAGACTTCCTGCCTGGCAGTTCTGTTCCCTGGGAGCCCCGTGCTCCGTCTTCTGCACCTCGCTCCCCAGGCAGCGACCACGGGCTGCTTCTGGTCGGGTGCCAGGTCGGGGGTCCATCGGGCCACCTGCGACAAGAGCCCTGGGACCCTAGAGGCCGGCAGCCCACGGCGGGGGCGGGGCCAGAGCGCTAGGCTGGGTGGCGGCCGCCGATTGGCTGGGCCCTCGCGCTCCCACGGCTGCGGCTGGCGCGGGGTGGGGCGGGAGGCATAGGCGGCTCCGGAGGCCTCTCTGTGACTCACCCTCCGCCCCACCCTTGGAGCTGGACTGGCGCCCAGCGGCTGCCACCCAACACCCGTCGGCTAAGCTGGGACAGCCTGACTCAGCAGGGCGAGCGGGGCCTACCTGCCGCCCTCTGCGCGTCCTCCCCAGAGGCGTGGGGGTGGGGAATGCGTGTCCACCCTTCTGGGAGAATCGGGGCCCTCTGGAGGGGAGGGGTATCTGGTGTGTGTTCTTCAAGGGTCTTCGTTGGGGTGCTGGGGATTTCTGTCCCTCTGAAACGGGAGGCTGTGTCCTCTCTTTTTGAGCGTGTCTTCCTCTCCTGGGTGTTTGTGGGTTCAGCTATTGGACGCTGGTCTTTGGAGCCTGCACCTTGACTTTTTGTGGGCATCACTCCATGACCACCATTTCAAGATCATCTCTATAGCCCCCTCCACACACACTCTGGGTGCCCCCCTCTATGCCACTCTCAGAGAAGGGTGCAAGGCCCAGGCTCTCTGAGACAGGCGGAGCCATGGGGGTCCTGGCAGGGGCTGTGTGTTCAGAGAGTTCTCCAGCCGTGGCTTTGCTCACCTCCACACTGCGGGGCCCCTGACGGTCAGATCTCAGGTGATACCTCGACCAGGCTCCAGACCCCTCTCCAGCCCCTGTGGCTCTTTCCTGCACTTCAAGTGTTCTCAAAGCGATCCCTTACACCAAAGAGTATCCACATTCGTCCAGAGACTCCTGTGTCTGTTCACCTACTGCTGGGATCCTCTTCACCTGTTGCTTGTCAGAGCAACTCCAAAAATAAACAGGAGAAACTGAGGCATGGAGCATGACTTGTCCAAGGTCCTCCAGGTGTGGTGTGTGAGTCTGAATTTGAACCCAGTTCTGCCTGGCTCTAAACCATGTGCTCTTTCCACTGGCCCTGGCCCTGGCCACCCCATGAGCTCCTAGCTGGTATGGCCTCTGTTTGGCCCCATGACACTAAAGCAGACTTGGGAGGCAAACAGTCAACTCTGTAGGAGGCCCCGTTCTCAACTTCACCACCCAGGGTTCCCGTCTCCAGGGAGGATCCCCAAGGGCTGAGAAGGGGTGGGGTGGGGAGCAGAAAGAAGCTGAGTGTCAGCACATGAGGGCTTTTCAGGAGGCAACAGGAGGCATGTGCCAGGTCCCAGGGCTGAGAAGAGACCAGGTCAGCTCGCACATACGTGCGCAGTGACTGTGGGACCCACACACACCAAGGCACACATCCAGTGGCTTGTGAGGTCGTCACACACAGAAACAGACACACATAGGAGTGTGTCACACTTACACATGCCTGTTTCACATGGGGCACACGTGGTCTTTAGGATTGTTATAAACACAAGCACATTGTACTGGATCAGTGGAATGGTTACACAGAGTTGCATTGGTTTGTGGGTCATTACACACACACACTATCAGAACCTTTAAAGCAGGAGTAACCAGGGGAGGGGGAAGAACACCTGAGTTTGTTGCAGGAACAGATTGGTCCCAGAGCCTGGCCAAGCCCCAGTTCAAGAAACCCAGACCCTTCCCCTCCCCACACCACCTACCCTGGACAGGCCCCTGCCAACCACTGGCCCTCTGCTCTCCAGACCCAAGACTTGAACTACTCACATACAGACACAGAGACCTGCACACACTTGTAGCCTTGGAGAAAGCCTGCTTTGACTGAGGCAGATGTCTGCCACAGACGTGACCTACAGAGGTCACGTGCGTCTTTCCAAAAGGGGCCACAGCCTTCCCATAAACACATCTGTGCAAGACCCTCACACAAACATGCCTGGATGCCAGTCACACACACACAGAACCACCCGTGGCCCTCACACAGGCCCATGGATCCATGCATACAAGAGAGAAATTTGCTGAATCAGGAAACTCAAAGTGAGGCTCTGTAACAACCTAGAGGAGTGGGAAAGGGTGGGAGGTGGGAGGGAGGTTCAAGAGGGAGGGGACATATGTATACCTATGGCTCATTGGTGCTGATGTATGGCAGAAACCAAAGCAATATTGCAAAGCAATGATCCTTCAATTAAAAATAAATATTTTTTTTTAAAGAGAGAAAAACAGATGCATAAGCAAATCAGTTACACAGGTACCCATAAGACTAAGCAGGCACGGACACCCTGCCCTCAGCACAAAAGGAATCCCCTCAGTTGCCCCTCAACCTTCCTTCTTGGCCAGACAAGGCCCAGGCTTGCCCCATCAGCTCCATCCCCTCCCTGGCCCAAGACAGACCCTGCCCTGCCTGCCCTGGCCTGCTTGGGTGGGGCCCCGCCTGCTCCCAGCGCCAGCTGCCAGCTCAGCACAGGGCAGGGTGCCCCATGCTGCTGGCTGCCGCTCTGGCATGTCGCTGGCCCCACCCCCTTCTCCCAGGCCTGCCTGCCACCTCAGCATCTGGGCCACAGCCTGGGTTCCACCTAGCTTGTTACTGCAGGCGGTGGGCAGGGTGACTGACCCCCAGAGCTGGGAGCCAGGAGAAGGGGCCCACTGGCAAGACCCTTGGGAAAAAGATCAGTCCATCCACAGCCTCCCACCACCACCACCCGCTGTCCCTTCTTCTTCTCCAGATCGACCTCTGGGTAGAGTTATAGCTCTCCAGGCGCTGTCCTCTCACCCACAGACATCTGTGTGCAAACACAGGCTCCCAAGCATGCAGACACAACCAGCCCTCTCAGAGCCCCACATATGCAGCCCTGCACACAAAGCCACCCAGCCACCCACTCCCAGCCTGTCACACCCAGCACCCCAACACCACCAGACATAGAAAACCCCACACACACACACAGGGTTCCATGCAGTCTCTGTAAAATATGCACAGTGGGAAACGGTGTTCCTGTGCCTGTCCAGTCACTCAGACCTGCACAGCATCCCTGGGTGTTTATAATTGTCCCAGACATAATAAAGCCAGTTCCATCCTGGGAGTGCTGGTTTTAGGGGGCAGGTCTTTGAACCCTCCTGTGTTTGCAGTTCTAGGACATTGCAGTGGACTTCATTAATTCTTGTTCTGTCTGTATGCTGGAGCTATGACAAGCCTGTCTGGGGTGGATGTCACCCCAACAGCCTTGCCCTCCCACAGTCTGGCTCCTTGGGGAGACAGGCGAAAGTCAGAACCTCCCCCCGAGACTCTCTCCTCCCCCAGCCCTCTGGAGACCCCACCCCCACCCCCAGCTTCAGAGTCAAGGCACAGGCATCTAAAAAGGCCCCACTGTAGCCTCCAATGCTTGCCCTGCACTTTCCTCATCTGGTGCTAGTAGCATGGTGTGTTCAGTTTGTGAAAACCCGTCGAGCTGTACACTTCTAAAACTGATATTTTATTATTTATTTATTTGGCTGTACTAGGTCTCAGTAGTGGCACACGGGATCTTTTGATGTGAGTGCTTCTTGGGTGTATGTTTTTCTGTACTTCAATGAAAGAATTTGTGTTTTTTAAGTAGACCCCACACTGCATACACTGCAAACAGAGCTCTGTCTTTCTGGGTTGATGTGAAAGGCCTGTCTGTGCCTGTCTGCGCCTGCACACATGTTACCTCCCATGTGGATTAGTCTGGCCTCTGATTCCTGAGGCCCTCTGTGTGTGCACTTACCACACACACATATGAGCACACACACACACAAACATGCATACATATGCACACACATGACCAGCTCCCTGCAGGTCTTCTGTGATGGTGAGGCTACCGCTGGGAGCAGGGAGAAGGGATGTAGTCAGGCCTTCCTGCCAGGAACAGGGATACGAGAGGCATTCCAGGCAGACTCACCAAGCTCACCATCTGCTGGGGCATAGAAGTTCAGAATTCAATGTAAAGAAAAGAGCCATGGGTTGGAGTGCAGGGGAGCCTGGAGCCCAGCCTCAGATAAGTCAGGATTCAGAAGCCTCAGGAGGACTTAAGACGGGAGCCCCATGTCAGGACACTGCCGCAAAGGGAAAGCTCACTCGAAGAGCCAGGGGTATGAGACTGTGCTTACTCCAGGAACCTGCAAGGAGCTGAGCTTCTGGGGAGTCAGGGGGGCTGCTTTTCATGGGGGAGATGGTGGGGTTGTGGCTGCAAAGGCAGTCTTCAGCCAAGGCAGGCAGGACCCTGAGTGCCAAGCTCAAGGGTTTGGGTGATTCCCAAGACAGGTTTTGAGCTGGGCTGTCACACAATCAGAAACAACCCAAAGGAGCACTCCGGGGACATGAGCGCTGACTGAGAGCAAGGGCCCTGGCTCTGCCCATAGGCACAGTGATGCCCATCTCTGAGCCATCAGAACAGAGCACTGACCTTTGTGCTGCTGACCCAGGTGCCAGCTGCATTCCGATGGGGCAGGCGTCCCTTTCCCAGAGCCAGGAATCCCACCTGCCTCCCACACCTGCTCCTCCTGGACCCTGCCAACCTCACCTGCCTCCCCAGCTTCGCCTGCCAGCCCCTGAGCCTTCCACAGCAGAGCCTCCTGCCCCAGCTTCAGCTTGGAGCCTGGAGCCTGCCAACAGCCAGGAGAGGCAGGAGCCAGCAACTGGCACCTGGCAGTGTGGCGCCCTCTTGGGGCACCCCCGCCACCTCGCACCTGCAGCAGCAGAGCAGAGGACAGGCATCCACCAGAACAGGACTGCCCTGCTCCAGACCTTGGCGCCCTCAGCCCCCAGCTCCTCCCCCGCAACAACCACACCACAACCACCACAACCATGGCCCCTGGGTTGCCAGGTGTGTAGGACATAGGTCTGTCTGTGTGTGTTAGTCACTCCGTCACGTGTGACTCTGCAACCCCAAGGACTGCAGGCTCCTCTCTCTGTCCATGGAATTCTCCAGGCAAGAATACTAGAGTGGGTAGCCATTCCCTTCTCCAGGGGATCTTCCCGACCCAGGGATCAAACCCAGGTCTCTCGCATTGCAGGCAGGTTCTTCACCGTCTGAGCCCCCAGGGAAGC